AATAAACGGAACCATTTAGTTCTCCTTTAGTTCTCTGGAATAAACGGAACCCCAACTAGAGCCAGGGCTAGGTTGCCCCATGTGCCCAGGTGAGCCCTTGAACTGGGAGGAATGTGAACTGAGATGACCAAGGTAGCAGTGATAGCCCCATCCCAATGGGCTCAAGCTGGGGGCAATAATTGTTCAGCTTACAACACAGGCCTCATGACCACCAGAGACCTTAGAACTTGCCCGATAGCCAGCCTGGTCACAAACCCAATGTGTGACCTTGGCCAAGTCATTTCAGTTCCCTGGGCTTCAGTTTCCTCTTCTGTGAAATAGAAAATTTAACACAGCCTACATGATGGGGTTGTTGGGAGGATAATATGGGGCATAGGTCCTTGGCACAGGCTCTGGGTCTAGCCACAAGCAAGTACTTGGCAAGGCAATTGTGAAATCCAGTGAACTGGCCAGGGTTTTATAGGATGTGTGTGTGTGTGCGTGTGTGGGTACATACATATATCCTATAAAATCCTACATATATTATACATAAATTCCTATTGATTCTGTGTAGATATAAAATTTCTTTGTCTCTCTCTCTGTATAATCTATACATGTCTATTTTATTATGAAGAATTGGCTCATGTGACTCTGGAAGCTAGCAAGTCAAAAATGTGCAGGTAGACTAGCAAGCCAGAGATCCAAGAGGTGATGTTACAGTTCCAGAACAAATGTCCTGCTAGCAGAATTTCCTGTGCTTGGAGGAGGTCAGTCTTTTTAATTCAGGTCTCCAACTGACTGGATAAGGCCCACCCACACCAGGGAGAGCAAGCTGCTTTCCTCAAAAGGAATTTCAATTTATGGCCTCCCCAGTGGCGCAGCGGTTGAGCGCTGGGTTGCGAAGCTGCCCGCAGCCTCTGCAGCGCCGGTTTGATCCCCGGCTGCTCCCCGGCCACCAAAGGAGGGTCCCGCATGGCGCGCAGACCTCTCCTGCCGCCTGCTGCTCCCCTCAGCAGTGTACTTTGGTCCTTCTGCCTGCTCTGCTCCCTGCTCTGGCTCTGGCTCTGGCTCTGGTGAATTCTCTCACCCTCCCGCGCTTCTGACTGTACCCAGTGCTTGTATAAATAAATACATAAATACTTTTTTAAAAAAAGGAATTTCAATTTAAATGTTAAATTTTAACAAGTTTGGATAAAATTAAACTTTTACATTTATTTAAACAATTAAATTTATTTAAATGTTAATCTCATCTAAAAATACCCTAAAAGACACATTCAGAATAATGTTTGATTGAGTACCTGGGCACTGTGGCCCAGTTAACTAAATGCATATTTTTAACCATCATGCCCAAGGAAAAAGATGAATTACGTAAATTTAAATGGCCAGTCAGCTATAAGTTTAATATCAATATAAAACTAAGGATTTATTTATTTCAGCCCTGTAACCAGGGTGACCCCCATATGTGGAGACAGTCCTGTTGTTCCAGCTAACAATTATTAGTAACACATCTTTTCACTCCACCAAAGGGTCCAGTTTGAACAATGAAGGTGGGCATTTTTTTTTACCAAGGAAATCCTTCTCACCACTGCTCAACCTTTAGAAATTGAAGAGATTTCTAAACATTTCACCTCACCTTGTTCTGGTCCCGGGGTCAATCCCAGCTTTTATCTGGGAAGGAGGGTGAACCTGTGCCAAGAATACGTTGTTGATTAGGGTCAACAGTGAAGTCAGAGGAAAGATGTGGGAAAATCCACCAGCAACTGAGGACCCAGGAGAGTTCTGAAATGCTGTGTGAGGCAGAGTTTATCATTTTTGAGCCATTTTGTTATTTTTTTGTTTTCATCTCCGAAACAACCACAAAAGGAAAAAAATTCTGCCGGTGCTAGAATCCTCCTGTTTTTATTCTCCCCACCTGGGAACACAAGCAGGCATGTCAGACATGTGAAAGGATCCTCTGGTTTTTCCAGCAGGGACACTCAGGCCCAAAGCCGAGGACAAAGTGATACAGGGAAGCAAGGGGCACTAAACTGGCCACGGACACTGCCCAAATAGTTTACCGGTCACTGTCTGAGTTCTTCACCTGGGCACACAATTGCAAGGCTACTCAGGCCTTGGGCACAGCAACAAAGGGGTTTATTTAACAAACCAGGGGAAAACAAAGAGTTCCTGAGGCCAATAATGGCCTTTACCTCACCTAAAACTGTGTCCAGTGTTTCCCAGTCCTGCACAAAAGCAGTGAAAATGGCATCTTCCCGCCACTGAGGACACAGAGCTCCTCTCCCGAACAATAGGCCACGTGTCTAAGATGGCGTCTTCCTGCCACTGCAGACACGTGGCAGCCAGACTACATTAGGTTCCAACTCATGAAGTCAGCAGCCAACACAACAGGAGATGTTCCATGAGGTGGTGGGATGCCTCACCGCAGCACCAGACAAGTGACACTGCAAACAATAGCAGCTGAACCACCCTACAAGGGGCCACACTTACACATCTCAGCAAGAGCCTGGCTCTGGGTCTCCTGTCTTCTCTGCCAGCCACAACAGCCTTTTAAAAGATCCGCGCGGCGGGGGCCCAAATCCGTGAACCCCAAACGCTACAAACACTGTCCCATCAAGTCTGCTCAGGAGCCCCCTTCTGCAGTCATTTATATCACTTACCAGTAGCTCCACCCACTTTCAGCATTTTCCTTGGGGCTATCTATCTTTACCAGCAACCCCCTCCAAGGGGCACCACCTATAATAGTCTATGGCTTTAGCTACGGGTTGCCACTGGTTACAAAAGGCCCCAAAGAGCTCCCCAAAGTGGAGAGAGAGTTGCCAACCTGGACCAGTTGTTCAGGCTAGTCTTCCCCTCGGGGCTTGAGAGGAGGGTGTTGGGTAAGAGGAAAATTTGAGGAGAGGAGCACCAGATTTCTAGAATGCCCCAGGGAAGAGGGAAGCCTTCTCAGCTCAAACTTCGCATCAACTTCTACAGACTGTTTGTAGGGTAAATGAGTTACAAATCGGGCTTTTCCCCACCCTTTCACCATTATGTGGATGCCCAGGCCAAGAGGCATGGGCTTGGGGCACTTGGACCCAGAAAGCATGGGTATGCACAAGTGTAAATGCTCACACCTGTGCCCAGAGAGACGGCTAAAATGACCTCTCAGAAAACTACTCCCACATGGGAGGACCACTCTGAGGCAAGACCACGAGATGACAGGAGACTGAGAGAATGCCAGAGAGAGGCCGGAAAGATTTGCATTAAAGTGAGAGAGAGCATTAAAGTCCTGTAAAATCCACCCAGGGCTCCAGGACTCTCCTTTACCCATCCGCCCAGACACATTCAGAATAATGTTTGACCAAGTATCTGGGCACTGTGGCCCAGGTAACTAAATGCATATTTTTAACCATCATACCCAAAACCTCATCAAACTGACATCAGTAACAACTGGTCATCTGTGAATTTTGAGCACATAGAAAGTCACTGGTTCAAACCCCGGTGGCCTAGGGGTTAGTCTCAGTGCTATCACCACTGAGGTCTGAATTCCATCCCAGCCCAGAGAGCTAAACCACATGGCGCAGCAGACTTCTCCTGTCTCGCCCGCCTACACCCCATTTCTTCTATACATAAATAAATATTTTTTAAAAAGTAAATTATTTCATTAATGAATTTTAGATGGAAATGACAATCGTTGAGAGATAGTGATAAAGTCAAGCAAAAGATATTAAAATTGATTTCATTTCCTGCTTTTTATTTTAAGGTAGCTGTTGTGCCCAAGGTCAGCAGACTCCGCGAGCATAGCTTCCAAGAACCCAAAGACAGCTGATGCAAACACAAAAGGGAGTTTATTTCAGACTCGAGTCCGGATTCAAGGCACCTACCAACACAGTGGCAGATATTGAGAGCCCCGAACAAAGGAAGCAGGGGTCTTTTAATAAGGTTAAATTGTGCTGGCAGTTACTCATTGGCTACAAGGATGCGTTCTCCAACTTTGCCAGGCTATCATTCTAAGCTGACTGGCCAGGCCAAGATGCAGCTCCAACCTGCAGCTCCAATTACAGCAAGCTTGCCCTCATTGGTGACCGGAGAGTAAGGGTGGAGTGAGGGTCCAAACTATCTCTGGAATGCAGTCTTTTCCCATCAAAACCTAAAATTCTAAAATGGCAGTTACACAAAGCAATGCTAAGAATACTTATGCTTGGTTCCACAGTAGCTACTAGAAAAGTTTAAATGTAGCTCCCATTATGTTTCTGTTTGGACAGCAACTATTCTGGATACACCAGACTTGACTGCCAATTTTTGTTTCCACCATTTACAAGTCTCGTCAGGTGACCTACTGCTTTTCTAAAAGTCCGTGTTTCCTGGATTGTAAAATGTGGGTAGTATTGGGGTAGATGAGAAGATTGTGAATAATTCTTGTAACTACTTAGCAATGCACTGAAATAGACAGTAAGTATGGTGCCTGCTATTTACTGGAGGCCACGGTTTCTCTATTGATACCGTCAGCGCTGGGCAACATTGGTTATTAGAGGCCCTTCCTCTGCGACCTATTTCCATTCTGACGACAATAATAACAAACGGTAGCCAGCGCCTGATTACTCTTTCGAGGGGGGCCGCCCTCCTCACACCGAAAAATTAAAATGACCTAGGTTCCCTCCTGGGAGTCGGGGTATCTGTATTAACAGAGCCCAGGAAAAAACAGGAAAACTAAGCGGCCACAGGTCACATGACGACCCTTAGCAACTGACGCTGGCGCCCATTGCTAAGGAGGAACAGGAAACACAAGATGTGGTCCGGCGGCTGTTGCTCTCCGGCAGCGACTGCTTCCGGTCTCGCCGGGAGCCCGTCCTTCGCCCTATCTTCCCCTTGGCAGCCGGGACTCTGGCCGTGGGTTCCGCCGCCTCTGGAGCTTGCAGGGCCCGGGCCGGTGCTCTAGGGCAGCGGCGGGGCGGTGCGGGCTTCCCGCGCGGCCGCAATGCTGAGCTCCCGGGCCCAGGCGGCGGTGACCGCGGCAGACAGGGCCATCCAGCGCTTCCTGCGGACCGGAGCGGCCGTCAGGTGAGCTCTGGGGGGCGGGGCGGCCGGAGAGGCCAGGACCAGGAGCCCCAACCTGGGCCTGGGGCGGCCTCTTCGCGCCCCAGTCGGCGTCCTCAGGGCCGGGGGGAGGTTCCCGTGACTTGTGCGTCCCGGGCGCGTGGAGGCCCAGGGCGTGAGGCGGGAGGGCGACGGACCTCTAGGGCCTCCAGTTCTTCTGCAATGCCAATGCTGTCTGCACTCCCCAAATTCTGTCACTGCACCCGACCGCCCCCCGCTGCCTGCCGGTGCCGCCTCCAGTCCTCGCATTGTTCCCAGAACTTCCCGGGACCCTCAGGCGTGTCAGTGTCCCGAATTCCCTCAGAGCCCCCACCTCCCACTTAAGGCCCCCCCACCTCCTCTTAGTGCCTTGCAGACCTTCCAGGAGAATCTTTCTAGGATTCCTTAATCCTTTTAGAATGCCCCAGGTTCTTCTGGGATCCCCCAGTCACGTCAGCTCCCGACCTGTCAGGGGTCCCCCATCTTGCCAAGCTTAATTAATCCTGCAGTGTTTCTCACAATGCTGTGAGTGCCCTGGGCCTACTGCCTCCACTTGCCCATCCCATTTTGCCAGTATGCCTGTTCCTGTCAGCCCCACCCCCAGTAATGCCAGGGATCCCCTATTCTTTATGGGTCCCCTATTCTACTAGTGACTCCTTACCTTGCAGGGGCCCCTAAACCAGTCAGGATCTCTTAACCTGTTAAGGCTCCAGTCTTGCTAAGGCTCACCTGTTCCTGCTAGAACCCCTTATTGTGTGGGTCCCCATTCTGATGAGGGGCCATATTTCCATCCTCTTATGTGCCTTCCCTCTGGGTTCTAGGCTTCACAGCTAAGCATCACCCCCACCCCTCATTACTGACCCTAAATGACCCAGACCTGTTGTTCGTGTCAGCTTCTTTCCTCTGGAACTGGAGCAGGTGTAAAGAGCTTATTAAGGCAGAGCTGGAAGTCTTCAGTGGCGCTCCTGTCCAACGCCCTGATCTGTAGATGAGAGATGGGCCTGAAGTCATCCTTGCCCATAATGCTGCACCTGACCTGATAGCAGAAGTGGGAAGAGAAGCCAGATCTTTTCAATCCCAGGCCCCACTGCTCTCCTTATGTTGTCATTTTGCAGAGTAATGGGGTTCCCAGATTAACCACTTGCCCTGGGATTCTTTTGTCCACGCCCTGCTCAGGACCTAGGTAGGTCCTTTTTTCCATTCCTTCAACACTCTGTCCTTCACTTTCTCTCATGAGCTTTGTGGATTTAAGCACAGACTTGGCAGCTCAGTAGGCATGAGTTCAGATCCACGCTGCCTTGTGCACTTTGACCTTGTTGGCTGTGTCTCCTGATTTCCTAACCCATAAAAAAAAAAAAATGACTGTAGGATGTATGTCCCTAGGATTGATTTGAGGATGAGATCAGATTATCACAGTGCCTGGCAAAGAGTCATGCTCCTTAAATATTAGTGTTTGATGGGGGGAATTTTAAAGCACTTATAAAGTGCTAAGCATTTCAGTGATGGTTCTTTTCTGTCTTTCCAGGCACTTTTGTGGCTATCCTGTTGTGTATACATCTATACAAGGGTGCATTGAGAAACTTCAAGAATAACTTTCATGAGTGACACTAAGATGAAACTTATAATCATAGCAACTAGCACTATGCTCTTTGTCCAGTAGCACTTACTTCATCCTCACGACAACCCTTTGGGACAGGACTTGTGATAGTTCCTGTTACACAGATGAGGAAACTGAGGCTTAGTTGCTGAAATGATGCCCTAGGGGCTAGCAAAGCCAGTATTAAACAAGTTGGATGTGATTCCAATCTCTTAACCAAGTTATGTTCACATTTTATTGTCTCTGTCTTAGGAGAACAAAGGTTTATTTGAAATTCATTACCAGTTAGGTAGCATATCAGTTATGAAAATGTTGGTTGTTGTAAGACCCTCAAATGTTGGTTGAGTCATCATCAGTGACTCTTTGCTGAGTTAATGTTGACTGACCTAAGATCACATATTAACATGATCCAAATAAGAATATTGCATACATATACATGTAACATGTCTGTACAGGAATATATCACACATCAACACATACATGGTTGGCCCTATTCAGTGGAAATACATTAATTTTGTATAAAATTGTTTTAATTGCCGGTAAAATTTCTTTTGTAGTAAAAAATTAAATTCAGTGTTCATCAAGTCTAAAATTAAGAAATTCAAACATTTTCAAATAGTAGACATTTTATACTATCATATGCCCCCTCCCTATTTAATATTCTAAAGGATAAATCAACTTTTATATGTTTTCATTGGTATCCCATCATTCAGTAAATACTGTGAGGACCACTACGTGCCAGGCATCATTGAGATACTTGGGATATGTCAGCAAAACCAAGATCCATGCCATCTGGGACTTTGCGTTCTAGTTGAGGGAGACAGGCAAGCGCTGTGAGTAAGTGTCGTGTTAGAAGTTGGCAGATGCCATGGTTAAAGGGGATAAAGTGCAGGTTCTACTAATCCATTTAGAGCAGGTCTCCTTGATGAGGGAGGGAGCCAAGTGGTGACCTGGAAGAAGAGCATTCCAAGCAGAGAGAGCAGCCATCAAAGGCCCTACGGTGGTGGCCAGTGTGGCAGCACTGTGCATGGCAGAGCAGGAGGAAAACTCTGGCTTCTTCTCTGAGCGCGAGGGGCATTGGAAGGTTGTGCCCTGACTCAGTGAAACCTAATGTCTATAAGATGCTGATTTTCAAGACATAATCCTGTTACTGCTGATTACTCTAACTTGGAGCTTAGGTATTTGGTGGGTCATTGGGTTACTTGGACAAAATGGCACTTCTCTCCCCCAGTCTGTTTATACACATGCTGTGTTTGGATGAGGGATGACAGTAAACTTACTTTCTTTTTCAGATACAAAGTCATGAAGAACTGGGGTGTTATAGGTGGAATTGCTGCTGCTCTTGCAGCAGGGATATATGTTATTTGGGGCCCCATCACAGAAAGAAAGAAGCGGAGAAAAGGTAAGAATGAGCCATGGCATCACAGTCTGCAGACTTGACACAAACCCTGTCATCCCAAAACAGTACAAGGGGGGAGGGAGAATTTTTTGTTTCTTATTCCTCAGTTTTTGAAGTAGTACTTTATTTTAAACATAAGTTAATTTTAATGTTATTTTTATTGTCTGAGTGCTGTCATTAATATGACAGTTGTGTCTTACTAGGAAAGTGGGGCAGCTTGACTGTTACATTGTGGTTTTCCGGACTAGCTACTAGTCACTAGTAAGTTTCAGGTTAGTTTCTTCATTAACACAAAAATCTATTCCTTTTTTTTTTTTTTGAAGATTTTACTTATTTATTTTTGCATAGAAGAGCTGGGGTGTAGGCCAGAGGTGTGGGTGGTGAGGGGATTCACAAGAGACAGAGCGGGGAGCAGAACAGGCTTATCTACTGAGATACACTGCTGAGGGGAGCAGTGGGAGAGTCAGGAGAGGTCTGCTGTGCCATGTGGGTCAGCTTCCTGGCCAGGGATTGAACTCAGGCCACAGCAGCAGTGCTAGCATGGAGACTTAACTCCTAGGCCACCAGGGAGGCCCCCTAGTTCCTTCTTTTTAAAAAAACTCCCTTTTCTAAATGTTTCTCTATTTATATTGATTAAAATTCCATAACAAAGATGGGGGGGGAAATAAATGTAATAAATGTTGATCATAGTAAAATCTGGCAATGTTTGTGATCGGGATTCATGTATAGCCTCTCTTCTTTTGCACATGGTTGACAACTTAATGGTAAACAGTTATAAGAAAGTAGAAGAAGAAAGTCTGTCAGACTCTGTTGATCTCTGCAGAATTGCTATCGTGGTGGCTTTCCCACCAATTATAAAAACAAAATTGCTGTCACAGGGAGCAACAAAAGAACAATTGTTTTCCTTGCTCCTGAAAAACAGTGCTTTTTTATCAAAGGAGAGAAAGAGAATGAGAGAGCAGTGTTACTAAGTGTTTCTGCACATTCACTGCAAACCATGCTGGCAGGCACTGTGCTGGGTTTCAAACTTAACCCACGACAGGGCCCTGTCCTTACAGTCTCCTGAAGGAGCAGCAGTAGGACCGGCCCTGCGTGGGCAGAGTGCCTGGCCCCGGCCCTGTGGAGAAGGACCTTTCACACTGGGATTTCAGATTCAAGGCTCCCATGTGAAACTTCTGGGTCTGAAATTAGAGAGAGCTGGTCCAATGTGATGTGCTGTTCTCTTCCTCTGTCCTCCCCACCCCTGCTTTTATTTAGGGCTTGTGCCTGGCCTCGTCAACTTAGGGAACACCTGCTTCATGAACTCTCTCCTGCAAGGCTTGTCTGCCTGCCCAGCTTTCATCAAGTGGCTGGAAGAGTTTACCACACAGTACAGCAAGGATCAGAAGGAGCCTCCGCCACACCAGTATTTATCCTTAACACTGCTGCACCTCCTGAAAGGTATCTAGTTGGGAACTTAAAGGGGATTGTGCACGCATTTTCTTTTATTTCTTTTTGTTGTTGTTGTTTTTTAAGATTTGATTTATTTTTCTGTAGAAGAGCTGGAGTGTAGGCCAGAGGTGCAGGGGCGGTGAGAGGATTCACCAGAGGTAGAGTAGGGAGCAGAACAGGTGGATCCACTGAAGTACACTGCTGAAGGGAGCAGTGGGCGAGACAGCAGTGGTCTGCTGCGCCCTTGGGTTGGCTCCCTGGCTGGGGATCGAACTCGTGCTGCAGTGGCTGCCTATAGCTCCATAATGCTGAGACTTAATCCCTTGCACCACCAGGGTGGCCCCAGTAACAACTTTTTAGGAACAAAAAAAAAATATGTCTCTTAAGCATTTTGATTGAGGTACTTTGAGTTCAAAAACATTAAAAAGTGTCCTCATTTAGGGAATAAAGTAATTTACAAAAGAAATAATACAAATGATATTGAGATAATTCAAGTACTCAGTATGACCATAATCAAAGAACTATAGGTAACATAGTAGAATTTTTTTTTTTTTTTTTTTTTTTGGCCTGTCAGTAAAGGTTGACAATCAAATCCACAATCCTGACCTGATCATAGGCTGTGATTGTCACTGCTGCTGGGGTGTAACTTAGGCCACTCTTTCTGGAGGGCAGTTTGGAGCAACATCATAATAGCTTGCAAAATGTTCAGTCCTATTTGACCTAGAAATTCCGTGTGTGTCAGCCTGTCTTATGGAAATAGTTAGAAATGTGTATGGTCATTTTACTGGCCTGAAATGCAAGTTCTACAAACAAGTCCAGGAGTGGCGGAAGCCTGCCTCTCAACCTGGAGAGGCACAACCTGGAGAGGTTGATAAGGTTTTAAGAAGTCACCTAGCTTTATTAACCACATTTTTGGACCACAGAACTGTTTTTTCCCCTCCATAACATTGTTAATAACCCAACACCATACCACAAAACAAGATTTGAGAAACAGTATTGGGTGCACAAAGATCTCTGATGCCTAGTTTTTTTTTTAGTAAAAGAACTGGGGTACAGGCCAGAGATGTGGAGGATGAGAGGATTCACCAGAGACAGAGTGGGAAGCAGAACAGGCTTATGTACTGAAATACACTGCTGAGGGGAGCAGCGGGCGAGGCAGGAGAGATCTGCTGCATCCTATGTGGGTAGCTCCCTGGCTGGGCATCCAACGCAGGCCATGGAGGTGATAGCGCTGAGACTTAGCCCCTAGGCCACCAGGGCGGCCCAGATGGCTAGTTCTAATCAGGAAAAGATGGAAAGAATGTAAGTCGTTCAGCAATAGAATGCTTACGCAACAAAGGTAATATTGCAGAGCTCTTAAGAATCATCTTTGTGATGTGTCTGCATTTGAAAGAGGGCATAGGCTGTCATATTAAGCTTAAAAGAACAGGATTCACAGAATAATATAATTTGACAACAGCGAAGCAAAAACTTCCACAGATATAGGCTGGACTGAGAAAGATCTGAATGTTAGCAGTTGCTACTCAGGTATTATATAGTCGATAGTTCAAGAACATTAAAAAACTGAAACAGGGCCTTCCTGATAGCATAAGGGGTTAAGACGCAACCTATGAAGCTGTCCTCAGCCACATCCCCAGCCAGTCAGCCTGCCAGCAGACCTCTCCTGACTCACCCGCTGCTCCCCTCAGTGGTGTGCTTCGGTCAATCTCCCTGTTCTGTTCCCCACTCTGTCTCTGGTGAGTCCTCTCACGCCCCACTCCTCTGACCTGTACCCCAGTTCTTGTATGCATAAATAAATAAATCTTTAAAAAAATAAATAAAATAAAAACAGACAAACTATACTTCTGAAACTTTCACCATGAAGAATACATTACTCTCAAGGTTAGAAGAAATTTGGATTTAAAAAATACTCAGTTATGTATTGCTTCACTGAGGTGTTTCCCAGGTGATCTTAGCTTGACCCAGAAATTTTTATCAAGCAATTTCTGCTCTTCTGGATGAAGCAATTAGAAAATAATTTCTTTTACTACCCTGTAAAAAATAATAGCATCCCAGAGGCTGTGTGAAAAGCTGGACCGCGTGCACAGGTGTCGGGGTGCAGGCTTGGGAGCTGTCACCACCACAGCCGAGCCCCTCACTGACCCCACCTCTGTGACCCAGCGGAGCCAAGCTGCCCCGACTGGACGCGCTCCCCTCTCTGCTTCCACTTCTCGGTGTCTTTTAATTTGGCTTGTAGAAATAATTTTTAATTATGCAAGTAATGCATGAATACATTCTCCTTGTTAAAAAAAAAAAAAGGCATTACAGGAGGCCCTTTGCTGGAGTGCCCAGCCCCCCAGTCCTCTCCTTCCTTCCCAAAAGTCAGGTGTAAGTGACTTCCTGGCTGTTTTCTGTGCACTTAAATCTGTTTCTAAGTGTATATATCTGAGGAGTTCTGTGTTGTTTGGTTTGTTTTTTCATATCCACATAATAATATGTAACCGAGAAATGCCCATTTTGGTATACAGAACGCTACCCCTTTCGCTTTTTTTTTTTTTAAAGATTTTGTTTATTTATGCATACAAGAACTGGGGTACAGACCAGAGATGTGGGGTTGTGTGTGTGTGTGTGTGTGTGTGCATGTGTGAGAGAGAGAGAGAGAGAGAAAGAGAGAGAGAGAGAAAGAAAGAAAGAGAGAGGATTCACCAGAGGCTGAAATACAGTGCTGAGGGGAGCAGTGCATGAGACAGGAGAGGTCTGCTGTGCCATGTGGGTAGCTCCCTGGCTGGGGATTGAACTGGTGCCACAGTAACTGCTGATAGCTTCATAGTGCTGTGACTGAACCCATTGCACCATTAAGGAGGCCCCCTTTTTGTCTTTTTTTAGAGTTTATTGGTCTACTGAATTTTGTCTTCTGTGAATTGCATGATCATAGCCCTTTCCTCTTTTTAAGAATTGTGGTAAAATAACCATAACACAATTTACCATTTTCTTCACTAAGTGTACAGCTCTATAACATTGAATAACTGGGCATTTTCTCATTGTTGTGTAACCATCCCACTCTTCATCTCCAGAACATTCTCACCACCCTGTATTGAAACACTGCCCATTCAATACTACCCCCAGATCCTGATAACCACTCTTTCTAGTGCCCTGATCACCAAGTTCTGAGGTGAGAGTAGGGGTTCCCCATGTCACAAACTGCGTGTCTGGATAGTATGCACGCTACCATACTTCATTTTTTTAATTTTTAATGTTCACTGGTCACCTTTTATCAGGTGTTCTTGGGCAGGCTACGGAAGGATTCAGGAGTGCTGGTGAGGAAGGTCATCTAGTCAGGAATGCTGCATGGGCCTCCTCCGTGGCTTGGGCCTCCTCCGTGGTGCCCGTGCTCGTGTTTGAACTCCTTGTAAGAAATTAGTTTGGTTTTTTGGGGGGGCAAAGAACTAGGGTTTAGGCCAGAGGTGCAGGGGTGAGAGGATTCACCAGAGACAGTGGGGAGCAGAACAGGCAGATTTACTGATAATGCTGACTTAACTCCTGGGCCACCAGGGGGGCCTGAAAGTTATTAGTTAAAAAGCACACACACCATCAGTGGAACCCAGTAGTACTCCCTTTCTTCACACTGACATTTGTGACACTGGTAGTAAGCAGTTTGAAAGATCCCCACACCTATGCAGCGTGGCATGTCACGCTGTGCAGGCTTTCTGGCTGGTTGTTATGCTGGTGAATTTAATAATCTTGTTAACGTTTCTTGCTTCCAGCTTTGTCCTGCCAAGAAGTTACTGATGATGAGGTCTTGGATGCAAGCTGCTTATTGGATGTTCTAAGAATGTACAGATGGCAGATCTCTTCATTTGAAGAACAGGTGAACACAATATTCAAAACGGGCTTCGTATGGAGAACCTCTCCCGCTGATGACTTGGGGCGCAGGCCTCCAGTGATGGCGGAAAATCAACCCTGTTATCATCTCAGGAAGAATAACCCCCAGGATTGACCTTGTAGTTTCCTGACCTGAGTGTTCACTCCTGCTACTTGATGTCTGGATAGCCTGAGTGTTCTGGGACCAGATCGTGAACTAAGTTCCTACTCTTGTCAGAGGTGAAACACAGCTCCTTTTCACCCAGTGGATGGAGGATTAGCAGGGTAGAGCATACTCATAGCTGCCAGAGGGCAACTTTGCATTTCAGTGGATGATAGGGACACTTGTTCTGGAGGGAGAGGCAGGTGATTTCACCTCAGAGGCAGTGATATTCAGGTGAGACCCTTTTTTTGGACCACACCCTGATTAAAAAAAAAAAAAAGCAAAAACAGCCATCAGAGGCTAGCTTAAAGTGGCTTCAAACCTCCAGCAGCCATCATGTGCAACTCCAGGGCTCTATTCCAGCCCCCCAACCACCCCATTTTCTACAATTCTGGCTTCATTGCCCTCTTTGGTACTGGCCCATCCTCCTCAGGTGGCTGTGCCCAGCAGCAAGACTGAGACTGGGGCCAGAGTGAAGTTCTAGAGACAATGTATCTTCCATAGGTTAATGGTATATTTGCCCCAGCAGCACTTCCAGGAAGGCCTCCTCCAGCCTTGTGGGGGCTGCTTCTGCCTCCACCATCCAGACACTGGATCAGAGCAGTGGGAGACAGCCCTTGGGCTCCCCAAACTGTGGTGCTGAAGTGAGGCACTTAAAAACTGGCAAGTGTAGGGGGAAGGCTTTCTCGCTCCCCTTATTTTAAACAATTACCTATTATCACACTATCTGAAGCCATGCATGTGTTACTTTTTAAGCATATTTATACCATATTACAATGCATCTTGATAAATCTAATACAATCTCAATTGTATGTTGAAATATTTTTCCATTTAGAAAATCATTTTCAAATCCTCCTCTAGAACCAGAAATAATTAGTGGCATTTTGCTCTTCTCTAAACTGAGTGACTGAGGTCTAAGTCCCCATGGCCATCAGATGCCTTTTCTAATTCCTGTCTTTCAGCCAAGACCCTCTTAAGCCCCAGTTACTCCTTGAAGGTATTTCCATTGTCTTTGGTCCAGAGGCAGCTCTCCCTGAGCCCCCTTGTGCTCTAATGTGTGTGCAAAAGAGACGGGGTGTCTCAACTTCCTCCCTGTGAAGGCATCAGAGCATCTAGCCCGGAGCCCTGTCTTCACTGTTACTCACTACCATTGTTCTAATCAATGGACCTTAGTGTCCCACTCTCAGCCACTCCGGAGAGTCTAGCTGTGGAGGGCAGGAGCGCACGGGGCTGAATGCTTGCTTTCTGTGAATGGTCTCATTTAATCCTCACATGCCCCTTCAGGTTACAAGTGAGAAAAGTGTGTCCTCTCCAGCTACACCCCCTTCTGCTGGACGGTTCCTTTTTCCAAGGCCAAGTAATTAGCTGACTGTGACAGAATAGGGCTTGGATTTGACTCTATTCTCTTTGGGATTTTTCTCCCTGGTGAAACCCTGCTTGTTTCTGGGATTGGCCCAGGTGCCTTGTCTGGGAAAGCTCCCAGAGCTTCCAAGGTTGGGCTGTTCCTCTTTCAGCCTCCCTTTCCGGACCCCCAGGGCTTGCTGGTCTCGAGAGGGTGTGGCCTTGTGCTGCTAGATAATAGGTGGGCTGCCTCTTCTACCCCCTGCATTGTGAGTCCCTAGAGAGTAAGAGTCTTGCCTGGTTTATCCTCAGACCTCCATTTCTCTCTGGCCAACCCCCTTTCATAGCCTAGGAGGAGATTGATTTATATTTGCAGCAAATACTTGTTCACTACTTGCCTTGGGCACTCGAGGGCATTGGAGTTGAGGCAGCAAACTTGACTTGAGAGTTCTGCTCTTACGGAACTGGAATTCCTGTGACAATGTAAGCAGGTCATTTCAAGATGTGTTAACAAAATAAATGTGGTGATGGGACAGATGTGAGTGTCAGAGAGCTGGGGGCAGGGGGCACTACTTTAGATAAGAACAACTCTTCTAGAAATGTGAGGGGTCAGCTGAGATGTGACACCTACAAGGAGGGAGGCCTATGAAGAGTGTTCCAGAGGAACAAGCCAGGCAACAGCCTTAAAACAGCTACAGCGGTGCAGCATTTGGAAGCCGGGAAGAAGGGCTCCTGGCTGGGCCTGGCCTGAGAACAGTGGAGGAGAGGGGTTCAGGGAGCAGGTGCTTTTTCCACAGAGATCTGCAGAGGCCCCCAGGAAGGCAGAGCATCCCAGGCCAAGAGTGCATAAAGGATGCAGATACTGAGACAGGAAGGCTTGTTGTGTTCACTGGGCCAAGAGGCGTGGGGCCCCAGCCCAGTGTGTGAGGGAAAGCACTGAGGGAAGATGGGGGTCAGCCTTTGTAGGCCAGCTCAGAGGGGCTTGCTCTAGGTGTGAAAGCCTTTAGAGGGGTGGAGAGCAGAAGAGTAGTCATTTCCCTTATCAGAGGTCACCCTGGTGACCCTGGGTGGAGACCAGGCCAGGATGGACACCTTCAGAGACCTGCCCATGGCGGGCAAGTGAGCTGTAGCTTTGGCTCTTTGGAGAGGGCATTTTAGGGGTCTGTGAAGAGTAGTCCCCCGCTACCTGATGCAGCAGCTCCACTCTGGGTGTATGCCTGAGAGAGCGGGGAGCAGGCAGGTGAACCCCCACGTTCACAGCAGCACGAGTCACAGCAGCCGGAGATGGAGGCAATGCAAGTGTCCATCAACAGATGAACTGATAAGCAAATGTGGTGTGTGTGTGTGTGTGTGTGTGTGTGGATGCGCGCGCGCACAATGAAATAACATTTGGCCTAGGAGGAAGGGAAGGAAATGTTGCTACCTACTACACTTGGACAAACCTCAAGGACAGTCAGCCAGTGGCTTGAGTCCACCCTGGGGAGTCAGGCTAGAGGCAGAAAGAGCACATGGCTGCCAGGGCTGGGAAGGGAGCTGGGACCTGGAGTTTCAGTTGAGGACAATGAAAGTGTTCTGGAGATGATGTGATGGCTGCACAGTAATCTGAATGGATTTAACGCCGGAACTGTGCCCTTCAAAACAGTTACTATGGCAGATCTTCTCACACAAAAGAGTAGGCAGGTGGAGTGAAGGTCAGGGCCGTCTCAGTAAAATTAAAACAGCTTAGAACAGCTGGCAGGGGGCAGTGCACCCAGCTTTCTTACCTGCTCTCTCCCCAGGACTCTCAATCCAGGGTCTTTACTGTGAAATCATCTACGACGTGACTGTTTCTGTATGATGAGCTGGGCCTTGAGGAGGTGCCCTCATTAGCCATGCTGGTCTGCCTAGGGGTCCCTACCAGGGGTTCTGATGCTGCCCTGGCCTCTTCAGGCCTCTCTGAAGAATGCTTTGCCCTTTGACAGGATGCTCATGAATTATTCCACGTCATCACCTCCTCACTGGAAGATGAGCGGGACCGGCAGCCCCGGGTTACACATTTGTTTGATGTGCATTTCCTGGAGGTAAATCATTAATATTTCCAATACATTTTAGGTAGTTTGTGCATGTCTCATAGGTCTAGGAAGCGCAAGTAGAATCTTTATACAACTGTAAACTCCAAAGACGGGTTCCATAAAATTCAGTAGTGGGAGCGGAGCAGGGGGTGTGGCTTAGATTCCATGCCTTGTAGCAAGTGACTCAGGTTGTGGATCTCAAGGCTCTCGAAAACAATTCACTCCTGCAATTTGTGTTGGCTTTGAGAAGAAAGAATGTCATTTCCCCCGTGCTTAATACAGGGGAGCAAGGAGCCTCAGGAATGCTAACTGAATCCTTGTTTCCTTGGAACAGTATAAATCTCAGAGAGTTGACTAATTAACCAGTGAAGGGGGGAGTGTTCCAGAGAGAAATGTGTTTCAGTTGCATTTGATGAAGAAACAGGCATAGTAGCCAACCAGAGGGGATCATTAAAGCTGCTTTTGGAAATCTGTTTAAAGTGGGTTTTTAGTGGCACAATTAGCACAGAAACTTGTCAGAGTTCAGATTGGGGCTTGGGGGGTAAAAGGAATTGCAGTAGGGTTTTTAGTCTGTTTCTTTTCTTCCCTACAGCAGCAGTCTGAAGTCATCCCCCAAGAAATAACCTGCCGCACAAGAGGTAGCCCTTCCCACGCACTGGGACACATAAGCGTATGCTCTTTAGATATGACAGGCTTGCTTGTTTAAAAGGGTTTTTTCCTAGTGACATCCAGTCCCACTTGAACTGTGTGTCCTTGCAAAGGAACTTGTGTTTTAGAAACAGCTTTAAATGATTCCCTTGGCAAACAGCATCAGTTGTTCCCTCACACCACAGCCTTGCTCAGTTTTCCCTAAATGATCTTATTTATACTTCAAACAAGGGCTTTCTTTTTGCCACCTTGAAGTGATCCTGTGAGGAACTTAAGCCGAAACTCTCGCGTCCTCAGCATTTCCACTCTGGCCCACTTTCACCACCAATGGTCACAGTCTTCCTTGAAAGGGAATAACTGTTTTCTTAAGACTTAACGCATTACAAAAGGATATATCCTTTGTGTATCACTAGTGATAAGAACACTTACCTTTGCAGCCTATGCTCTGTGCGAGGCACCGTAATATTGCATTTAAGCTTCATGACAATTCTATGAAGTTGGTGGCTTTGGGGACAATGGGATAATTCTCCCCATTTCCAGCAGCCAAGCCTTAGGAAGAGGAAGACTTCCGAGGCACATCGCTAAGAAGCAGCAAAACCGAGTTGGAGCCCTTCACTGCCCCACTCAAGGGCCTTGTTTCTAACTAGCATATCACCCTCCAAAGAAAATCCCATTTTCTAGAACTTGTTTATTCTGATTTTTCCAGGAGTTTATCTTGAAGAAATAGTCACTCATGATATCCTTCCTTTCACATCTCAAACATTTTAAGCTTATGTTTATAAGGTGGATGGGGAATTTTTAAAAAAAGACATTATTAAACACTAATTTCTTTTCAAAATATGGCTTCACCACCCATGATACAAAAAAAACGCACTTAAGGACCTGGTGTAAATACTCATGTGGAGGGAATGGGTTGTGTTTTTGTGTGGAAGTCAGTAAGGAAAGCTATTTCAGTTTACTTTTCAGGAACTTTTTTTTTGTGAAGAGGGAGTTTCTACACCTACTAAGAAGGAGGGTAACTTTTGAGGTTGGTGGCACATCAAAAGATGCTTTGTATTCCAGGTTCACCTCATCCCACGTCCAATCACTGGAAGTCTCAGCATCCTTTCCATGGAAGACTTACTAGTAATATGGTCTGCAAACACTGTGAACACCAGGTAAACACAATACCAATACTGGCGATTTTCTAGTGAGGTTTCCTTTTGAGTTTCATGAAAGAGATCTAGAAAGAGTAGATGGGTGTTGGGTTTGTGACTGCCTGGGCTCTGCACCCCTTAGTGTTATTGTGCCTCTTAGGTTTACCAGGTTGTTTTTATTTATTTTAACTTTTTTTTTTTTAAGATTTTATTAATTTTTTGTGTAGAAGAACTAGAGTGTAGGCCAGAGGTGTGGGGGTGGGGGTGAAAGGGCTCACCAGAGACAGAGTAGGGAAAAGAACAGGTGGACTGACTGAAATACATTGCTGAGGGGAGCAGCAGGAGAGACAGGAGAGGTCTGCTGCACCATGTGGGTAGCTCCCTGGCTGGGGATCAAATTCAGGCCATGGTGGTGGGCTGTTGAGGTGATAGTGCTGAGACGTAATCCTTAGGCCACCAGGGATGCCCTATACAAAGTTGTTTTTAATAGAATTTGCTTCTAGGTAAGTATATCATGTCATTGTGTTAATGTCAAGCATCTAAATACTCAAGCTGTTTCATAGGCATGTATCTTCCCATCTACAAAGTTTTGAATTGAAACTAAGTTCCTTTCTGGATTTTCTGCAATATCTGTTTCAGAGTCCAGTTCGATTTGATACCTTTGATAGCCTGTCACTCAGTATCCCGGCTGCCACGTGGGTATGTACTGACTGAGGTCTTGTTTGGGGTCTGTTTGGGAACATTTGAGCTTGAAAGGGCTTGGAGGCATTTTATAGTACTCAGACATAGCTAGCCCATCTTAGTTTTAATGTGGGATGCCATGGCCTGATTTGGGGGTTGAAAGGAAGGTGGAAGGTTTTTCTCCGCTGCAGAATTTTGACTTTTTTGAACACACACAAATCTCACACTCAAAACTATCTAAAACAGTATGGAAGTCCATTATTTTCTGCAGTGTTATGTGCTCATACTCTTGAATCTGTCCCCAGTGGCAAGGCTAGGGTTTCTGGAGCTCCCGTTTGTTCAGGAAACATTCAGTTGTGTGTGTGAAACTTTATAAGCTGTGTAAGCAAAAATAAAACTCTGATTCTCACTGCCGTCGTTGAATAGCTTGGGTCTGCTGCTCCTTTGTCATCGTGAACTTTCTTCTTTGGTGCCGTAGGGTCATCCACTGACCCTGGACCACTGCCTTCACCACTTCATCTCATCAGAGTCAGTGCGGGATGTTGTTTGTGACAACTGTACAAAGGTATGCTTTCACCCCGCCCCTCCACCCCCAGCTTACCTGTGTCTCCTGACATAGCGCTTCCCATACCGCGGCCCTATGCTCTTCTGACTGTACCTGGAGGGTCATTTCAGCCACCGCCACCTCTGCCTAACTTGGCTGAGAACCCAGCCATCCAGTGTCTTTCCCAGATGAACTTCTTTGATCCACAGAGTGTTTGAAGAAAAAATTTGGAGGCTTTGCTACAATCCCCTCTGTGCCCACCTGCTCACATCCTGCCTTTTTGCCTACACTGCCTGCCTGACTCCCTGCAGCAAATGGATTTCACCCTCTGAATCAAAGGAACTGTGTGCAACAGAATTTTTAAAGACACAGAATAGGTTACATGCCAGTGCCAAAGTTTCAGTGAATCTTCATTTATCTTCCTTCTACTGCTTATGTTAATGACTAAAAGGAATGAATGGAAACAACTCATAAATAATTGGGCAGCTCTGTTCATTTCAGCAGGTAGAAGTCAAGTGCCAGGTGAATACAGGTGTAACCCCAGCCTGACCTGCAGCTCTCCATAGCTGTCCCTGTTTAAGAATTGCTACAGAGAGATGTCATTTCTTCTATTTCAGATTGAAGCCAGAGGGACATTGAATGGGGAGAAGGTGGAACACCAGAGGACCACTTTTGTTAAACAGTTAAAACTAGGGAAGGTGAGTCCCAGCACATCCCGGGGCGGGTTGGCTTTTGAGGACCCCAAGTGTCCCACTCCTGACACACAGCTCTTTCTGGTCTTCCCCCCCACCCCGGCCCTCACAGCTCCCTCAGTGCTTATGCATCCATCTGCAGCGGCTGAGCTGGTCCAGCCACGGCACGCCGCTGAAGCGGCACGAACACGTGCAGTTTAATGAATTCCTGATGATGGACATCTACAAGTATCACCTCCTCGGGCACAAGCCCGGGCAACACAGCCCTAAGCTAAACGAGAACACGGGCCCTGCGCTGGGACTGCAGGAGCGGCCCGCAGCCCCCAAGTCAGGTGTGTGCCCCCCAGGATTGAGGCGGGAGGACCCACACAGAGAGATGGAACGGGGCGCCACTACCTCCGGTCCCTCAGGCCACGAGAGCGAGGCCTGTTCAGGAGTCACATTTGTTCCGGAGAACAGAATTGGGGGCAGGAGAGGGATGATTTCTTAAAGGAAGTTATAAAATCATTCAGTAATGAGATGTATAGTTTTAAAAACTATTGCTTACATAGTTAAAAATGAAAGTATATATCGTTTTCAAAAACAGATGCAAATATATAGGAAGAAAAGCTTAAGATAGCAAACAGTCTTGTTTTCCGGTCTGTTGACTCAGCAGCTGGCTCCCTCCATTCCACTGAGTTTCTTCTCTTTTTCCCTCCCCCGGCTCCCAATAGTCATCTCTTTATATAGGAAAGGTGGGGAGGAAATGTCTGGGCTAATTATCACTGAACAAAGGTCACTGAGCATCATATTTGTGCCTATACTTCTGCACAGAATTACTTATGTACCTAATTCCATTACTGTCCTCATGTGAGGTTAAACCCAGTGAAGCAAGGTAGCTACCACCACCCTCAGTCCCACTGATGAGAAAACACAGGCCCCAAGAGGTTAAATGACTAGTCCAGGGGCAAACAGCCCATGGGAGAAAAACTCTGGGCTGTAGCGTCGGAACAGTTTTGTAAAGGTGTCTTCTGAATGAATGAGGATCACCCACTTGACTTGAAGATTTCCAAAACTAAACTCACCACCTTCAGCTGCTCCCAGTCAAGTTAGTACTATCTTCCTGTTTTCCCAGTTTGGCATCCACCGTTAGGACCTGGCCGGACATTATTCACGGAGAGACTTTTGCCCTTTCTCAGCAGGTCACTAGATTAACGCTGGCAACAGCTGGGGTCAGGAGCGGGCTCAGTCCTTGGCCACTGTTTTAAATCAAGGACCTTTGCCCTTGCCCCAAGTTGTCTCGGCTGGGGTGCAGGTCTGTTTGTGTTGGGAGTATGTTGGCTGTGGTTAAGGGCCAGTAGCAAACTATTTGTCTTCTCTTTCTAGCCTTTCTGGGGAGTTAAATTTCAAAGTTTTGTTTACCCAAAGCCACTGCTAATTTTAATTGTTTTTTTCTCTTGCAGTTCTGAATCAGCCGGGGGCGCCCAAAACACCAATTTTTATGAATGGTTCCTGCTCCCCATCTTTATTGCCTACCCTGCCAACCCCGATGCCCTTCCGCCTTCCTGTTGTTCCAGACCACAGGTGAGGCTCTTTAGAAACTTATTTGCTTGTTGGCTGCTGTTTCTCTTGGTTTCCAAAATTAGCTTTTTTTCAGAAATGAATGGAAATCTAGATCGCATTTTTTTTTGTTTTGGTTTAAGGTGGGATTTCACCATTATGCATTCCTGTTTATTTTTGTCTAAAATGGACATCATCTTAAAAACAACTATAAAAGTACATAAATATACATATGTGTAATACGTATGTGTGTACACATGTATTGACGTATATATCAAGAATGAATAAGAAAGTTTTAAATTTCTGGGGATACTACTTGGAGATTTCCAGTTCAGTCTCTCAGGTCTACTCTGTAAAGGCGTGTGTGCACCAGCGCACAAGTGTACACATATGCACAGGACACACTCACAGGACATCTTGCCATGCCAGTAGATATAGGCCTGTATTCTATTGGTTTATCAAGTCCTGATTTGTATGGACATACCATTTACCATCCATCTTTGGACAGCTGTGATTCTTTTTGTTTTTGCCTATAAACCTTTGTCGTATTTGTAAGCCACTGGCCTTTGCTCCTCCCGTTCAGCTCCTCCATGTACCTCTTTCGGTTGATGGCAGTTGTCGTCCACCACGGAGACATGCACTCTGGACACTTTGTGACTTACCGACGGTCCCCACCTTCAGCAAAGAACCCTCTCTCGACCAGCAACCAGTGGCTGTGGGTTTCCGATGACACTGTCCGCAAGGCTAGCCTGCAGGAGGTGCTGTCCTCCAGCGCATACCTGCTGTTCTACGAGCGAGTTCTCTCCAAGATGCAGCACCAGAGTCGGGAGTACAAGTCTGAAGAATGACTGCTGTGGCCCCAAAGCTAGAGATGATGGCACTGTCAAAACTGGCCGGAAAAAGGCAAACTCAGATCTCATGTGTGTGTGTGCAAGCAGCCCCACTAGAATCCTGCAGCCTTCTGGTGTGTTCTAAGAGCAGACCCCACATAGGAGCCCAAGGCCCCAACGCAAACCAAATCAGGCTCCCTGAGCAGCTCTGCTAGCATGCTTTGGAGAGTATCAGCGTCCTCTTAGAAAAGCATTTACTATGTCTGGAGTGTCTTTTTAATCACCTGATACAGGAAATTAAATCAGTCTCCAGAAGCCACTTTTTTTTACATTCTAATGTTAGGTGTTCTTAGAGGGGAGTTAGCCATCTAATCCTGATGTTTCAGCATAGATGTTTTATTTTGAATAAGCAGATCCATAAAAAGAATGAAATTATTAAAGGCAACAATTTAGAAGAAAAAGTGCCTTTCACTTTTGATTGCTTTTATAGCACCTACATTCTGGAATATTACATGACTTGACTGTCATAGAAACAGTTTTTCAGAAGCTCTGTTCCTTCCACATTACTCAATGAGTGGCAAAGTACAGTTACAAGATGCCTGAAGAACACGCCTTCCCTTTTTATATGTCTTTTTCTAACCTTTTAATTCTTTGTAGGCAGTAAAAGCTATCCTGCCAAATCTGCCCCTTTGGGAAATTCTTTCACCACTCTGTCATTTGTGACACGCGGCTTGTCGCTTTTCTCTTTTGTGTACTGGGCTGATGTGATTATAATTTATTATAAAAACTGTGAGTCGCCAGAATTGAACCCATCTGCAATGCCCACAACACCTCTGCTCTTAGACACCCCTTTCTTACACTAAGATCCATCATAATGGTTATTCTCAGCTATTTATTTATTGCCTGTGCAGAGTTCTTAAGGTTTACAGGTTGGAGCAGGGGGCGACGCAGATGATCCCTGCCCTGCTGTGAGAGCTGATTCAGAAGGATGGTGGGACCTCAGGGCTGCCGTCTCTCTGGACCAATTTCCTCATTTGTATAAAGGAAAGGGTTAGATTTGATGACCATCAAAGTCCAACCCTTTCTACCAAAAGAAAGTTTTTGATTTTTTTTTAAAACATAAAACTACTGCTGACTTCTAATTCATTTTGCTGTGGGTCCATGTTCTCAATGTACTGGTTTCCAGCAGCCTGATACAAAGACAGTACTGAGCAGTCTCTTCCCTCTTCAGATCAGTTGCATAACACAGCCCGAGGTCAAAGAATTTTGATGACACTGTAGCATCTATTAGCTAGATTTTTAATTAAAAGATATCAAATTCAAAGACTCTTCCAAGAGATTTGGAATCACACTAATCCAAAAAGTCACCGGAGGGAGTGGGGAGCCGCGCTTCCTCTGGTGGGGTGAGCCCATGGACACTTCTTGACAGCTCCTTGGTGGCAGCAAAAAGTGCAGAGGCCCAGGTGGCAGCCACTCCCAGCTTGTGTCCTGAGCCCGCATCATCCGCCCCAGGATGTGCTGGGAAGGTTCTGCACAAGGCTGGGTGTCAGAATGCAAGGAGCAGCGGAACTGTCCGAGCCAGTCCTGCCTGACGCCCTTCGGATTCCGTTTCAGATCCTGGCTTTGATGTTGGAGCGAGTATACCCGTTTTGCCTGAGACTGGTGGAGCTAATGTCCAGTCCCGTGACTGTAAACTGCATCACAAAGCTGTAGCTTTGAATGATTGCTGTTCGGCCACTGCTTGCTCTTTGAAATCCCCATGAAAGACAGATGCCAGCATGAAAGGAGCGCGAGTGTCTCCCTGTAAGCAGATTTTTGGTCAGGGGGCCAGGGTCTGGGTCAAGGTTGTAAATGTGAATGATGTGTAAAGTCTCTTAACCTGACCTTAAAGCTGACTTCCTCATTTTGTAAATTATTAGACATTATATATAGCCAGATAATCTTATTTCTGGTTTTAAGTTATTTGCAAAGTAGGGTTTTGGTTTTTTTTGACAAAAACCGGTTAGTAGTTTATGCCATAATAACTGCTGATTTATGTATTTGCTAAAGCTCCCTTTTGTATCTGCCGTGTAACATAGCAATAAAAGAATCATTTTGTTAGGAAAAAAATCAACTGGTATTCTTTCATCATTTACCTATTTGATATATTCTCCCAAGTTCTGCACAGCTATACAATAAGCCCTGAATCTTGATTAAACCTATTTTGTGTGCCCTGTTGGCAACGTAAATGCCAGCTCCTCCAAGCAGAGAAGGAAGAGATGAAAAATGCAAACACTTAAAATGTTTTTACTTTTTATTAGGCAAAATTTTACGAAATGTCAAGTTGACCCGCGGAGCCAGAATCTTCTTTCGGATGGGCAGACTGTGGTACCAATGGGTGTTGGTTGGGGGGTTCATCATAAGTAGACTTCCATGGGCCAGCTGAAGCCTGACAGCCTCCATCTTCCGGGAGGGGCTCTTCCCTCGAGAATCCTTGTGCCGGAAGAAGAAGTCTCTGCAGGCCCCAAAGGAGACCGAGGCGATGGAGCTTCCTGGGGCTAGTTCTCTTTCATCATCTCGGTGCTCACCAATGTGGTCACAACCGTCTTTATACCTGCAACAAGAGAGCGAGCACAGCTCCTGAGATGCACCAACACCCAGAATCCCTGCTTTCTCACCGTATGATGTGGCGCTCCAGGTGCGCTGTCCCTGCTGTGCTGCTGCCTGGACTGGAGGGACCTTCTAGTTCTACAGATGAGCTGGGCCTGAAGCAATTCACTTAATCAAGCCCTGTCTGAATATATATTTTAAAGCCTAACACACCAAAGGAAGCCAAAAACATCTAGTCCTGGTTTGCATATGCAAACCTTTAGCACAGTTTCTCCTTACATCTAGAATAAAATCCATACTCATGCACAGTCCTACCATGCCCACCTCTGAGCTCATCCCATACCCCCCCTTTTCCTCGTTGGCTGCTTTCCAACGATTTCAGTGGGATTTCTACTCCACAGATACTCTCAGCTCTTGCTCCTCTCCCTCCACGTGTCTGCATGGCTCACTCTCTCCATTCGATTACCAGCTCCTGGGTCACCACCTCAGTCAGCCCTCTTCTACCCACCTTCCCCTAAACCCAGAGTTCTCCCCAGGGGCCTGGGTGATGTCTGGTATCATTTGGGCTGCTATGACTAGAGGAGGGGCTGCTGCTGGCATCCAGGGGGTGGCAGTCAGGGATGCTGCTCCAAACCCTACAATGCTCAGGGCAGCCCTGAAAACCGTCAACCAACCCAACATGTCACTAGTAATCCTGCCCAAAACCCAGATCCTTTCCTCCTGGCCATTCTTAGTCAAATCAACCTGTCTAATTTTCTCCAAGTCACTGATCAATGTCAATTATCTTGTTCAATTGCTTGTTCACCAGTCGATCACCATGAACTCCCTGAAGACCCTGCTGCTCCACCACAACTTCCCCAGTGCTTAAAGACGTCTCATCGTACAAATGAATAAAACTGGGTGGACTCCTACTCTTCCTCTGGGGGCAGACAGATGATGTGTCAAAGACAGTCCATGGCCTAGGGAAAAAAAGTCAAAAGTAGGTAGGGTATCACCTGTTGACAAGCACAAAGTTGAAGGTCTGTCCAGTCACCAAAGAAACACGATCCCGGACTCGCTCCAGAACTGGGATCCAGGGCTTGGGAGACAGAGTAAGTCCAGAAAACGTGTAGGTCAGCCCGGCATCGCCATACGTGGCCTGCTTCCTGGGCACGGGGTGCCACTTCCCGAACACCTGCACCCTGGTCAGCGCACCTGCGCACAGGAGACACGGCTGCTCAGAAAAGCAGGTGGGTGAGTGCCCAACATCCCAGGGATTGGGGGCCAGAGGGAAATAAAACGGGAATAGTATTTGATGCCCTGAGAACCTCTTCCTCAAAAATCAATGTGGCCACCTCAAATTTCCATGTGAAAACAGGGATTCCCATCTCACACTTAGAGAAACCAGGTTCTGGGTCAAGTGTGTGTGTGTGTATATGCGAGTATATATGTGTGTTTAACACTGTAATTGCCTTAAGTACAGCAGGAGCAAAATAAAAAGACTGAAGTGCCAACAAGATTGTCAGTCGTACACCAGGGTGACTTTGCCAACTTAGGGGACTCAGCACAGGGCTGCAAGGTGGAGTGAGCCACTCAGGCTACAGGCTGAGTCTCGGGTGATTCTGTATGCCCTCAAGTGCCCTGCCCCCTCTCGTGGTTCCTGGACCTGCATCATCAATGTCACTCAAACTCCTCAGATACTTGGCTATGGGGATAAGTGGGGCCCAGCAGTCTGAGTTCTCACACCAGTCCTCCAGGCTGGTGATGCCCTGAACACCCTCTGGAGGAATTCGCTGGTTATTTGCCATCTCTCCTGCTAGTGTAGTAATCTCAGCCCTGACTGCACGTTAGAATTACCTGGAAGCTTTCTAAAAAACACAGATACCCAGCCTGCACCCCCTTTCTAATTTGATTCAACTGGTCTTGGGTAGAATCCAGTCTCTTTTTTTCCCCAACCATTCCAGATGAGTCTAATCAGTAGCCAGGTAGTGATGCACTCCAGCTATCTGTCAACTCCCGGAGGTTATCATATGTTTTTTTCCCAAGGTCATATCCTAAGCACCTATTAACGTGCTTGGCCCAGATAATTTGAGGTAACTCCATGAACCAGATCATCAGTATCTAAAGGCTCCCGAGTCAGATTCTCCCACTGGTTTTATCAAATAAACTTCCAACATTCCTGCCCAATCTCCACACACACACCGCCATCCCTTACCTGTGAAATACTCCACTTCTTTCTCCAACTCTCGGAAAATCTCATCGGCTTGGGTTTTGCCAAACAGGACAGTATAGTCACAGTCCAGACCCTGGGCTCGAATGTGCCGCCAGCTGGGCGCTGCCCCGTCAGCTCCACTCCCAGGGGCTTCTCTCCTGAGCCTCTTCCTGCCACACTCTTCGCGGCCTGCCAACTCACCTGGGCCTTCTGCCCTCTGCTCTTGCTCCTCTTTTCCCAAAGGGCCCCCAAGAGCCCCCTTCACCAGGAATCTGTCCATTCTGTCTCCACAAAACAAAGACCTGGGAGCCAGTGAGGGGGCAGGAGAGAGGCTGCTCAGGTCGATGCGAAGCTTCCAGTTGCAAAGATCTCTGTTCAGCACAGTGTTCAACAGCAAAACTCCTTTTCACTCTTTTAAGTTTCCTTTTAAAAGTTTGACCCCACGTCCTAGGACGGAAGTAGAAGTTAAACTGGAAGTGCCCCTCGGGAGGTAGGTCTGGTCCTGCTCCCAGGGTGGCTTTGCATCAGAATCAACTGCTGGCGCCAAAAAACCCCAAATGCCTGCCTTCCACCCCCAGCAATTGAATTTTTAAAGAACCCCCCCCACCCCGGGATTTCGCGTGCCAGAGCAAATTTGGAAACTACAACCCAAACCCTCACTCTACAGATGGCGAAACTGAAGCCGGAGAGGGGCAAGGGTTTGCCCAAAGTCACGCAGAAAGGCGGCGTCTCTACCTTTCACCCCGTGAAGAAGGATCCGTGTCTGCAGCGCCTTTTCACGCCAGCATTAAAATAGGTGAAGTACAGCAACCTGCAAGCGGGCTTGAGTCAAAAGCTAAATATACACGCGCTCATACATACGCACGAATGGACTGGCAGAAAATAAGACCCGTAACGAGCAGGGGGTCGGGGTGGAGAAGGTTCCCTTTCAAATCTCAGCACCTGCTCTGCTCTGAACCCCGCTACACCCCGGGAAGGGGCGGAGGGAAACACGCCCCTGCAGGCGGCTCTGCTTCCGGGGCCTCCCGCCCGCCCGCCGGGGAGCAGGCCCCGCGCACAGCCAGCTCTGGGCGGCCTCGGGCGCCACCTTCCGCCCTCTGGGCGCATGGCAAGCAGCAGGTGTGTTCAATTTCACCTGCTGCTTGGTGTCGTGTCTCCCGGAGAATTAACTTGGTGTCTTGACAGGGAGTTGAGCCACCTGCATATCATCTCAGGTGGAGCATAAGTCCTGTCGTCAAACTCCCTGGCTTCCATCTCTGTCTCCTCTTCCCCCTGTGTGATCTCCTGAAGGTCAGCTAACCTCGCTGGGCTTGACATACCCATCTCTACAGTGAGCATTTACAAAACTTTCACCCCAGGGAGCTCCATGAGGGCTAAACCAGAGGATTCATGTGAAGTGTGTATATGCTGCAAATACATGTTGAGTTATATTATTATTCATAATGTTTTGTTTGTTACCCTCGACGGAATGAAAGCTCTGAGATAGAGGGCTTTGTGCTGAATCTTCTTAGTGTATAATTCTGAGAATTTTGACAAATGTATCCAGCTGTGTGACCACTGCAATCAAGATGCAAAAGCTCTACCACCCCACAAAATTCCCCCAAGCCTCTTAGCTATTAACAATTCTCTGGTATGGTGTCCCTGGCAACCACTGATTTTTTTTTTTTCCCCTTAAAGTTTTGCTTTTTCCAGAATTTCTTATCAATGAAATCGTCGGGTATTTATTTTGTGTCTAGCTTCTTTCACTTAGCATAATGCTTTTGGCATGTATCCATGTTTTTTGTATCAATGGTTTGTTACTTTTTTTTAAGTTTTTTTTTTTTATTTATACAAGCACTGGGTACAGTCAGAAGCGCAGGAGGGTGAGAGAATTCACCAGAGCCAGAGCGGGGAACAGAACAGGAAGACCCAGGAAACACACTGCTGAGGGGAACAGCGGGCACAGCAGGAGTGGTCTGCCCGCCTTGTGGGACCCTCGCCAGCTGGGGATCGAACCGGTGCTGCAGAGGCTGAGGGCAGCTTCGCAGCCCAGCGCTCAACCGCTGCGCCACCAGGAGAGGCCCAGTGGTTTGTTACTTTTTATGGCCGAGTAGTATTCCACCCATGGATTTGGGTTGTTTCAAGTGTTGAGCAATCACAAATAAAGTCACTGTATCCAGTAAAAAAAATTTAAAAAATTAAAAATTTTTAAAAACTTCATTGAAAAAAAAGTCACTGTAGCCATTCATCTACAAGCTTTTGTGATTACAGATTTTCATTCACTTGAGAAAATACCTAGGAGTGGGCCTGCTGGGGCACATGGTAAGTGCACGTTTCACTTTCTACAAAACTGAAATGTTTTTCAAAGTGGCTGGAAGAGCAAATGATTTTAAATTATGAGCTTTTCCCCTTACACAACAAGCTCCTTGTCCTAGGTGCTAATGCAACAGTAACAAGAAGGATGAAGTCCCTGCTCTCACCCAGGTTACATTCTGGAGATGGAGACCGAAATAGACAAGAATAAACAGATAATTTTAAGTAGTACATAAGCTATAGAATGACCGGCCAGAAAGTGGGGCAGGAGAGGAAGGCCTTTGAGAGGAAGAGTCTGGGGCTGAGAAGTTTCCCAGGCAGGGAGACAATCGAGCAACGATGCAGAGACATGAGGAGGGACATACAGACGCATCCAGTGTCGAGCTGAGGCCCAGGCTGAGTCAAAGCAATAGAGTAGGGGCTTCGCAGAGAGGAAAGCGGCCGGAGGGCATGGCAAGAAGCTGGGGGTTAGGAAACCTGGACTTCAGCTGTAGGATGTAATTCACAGTTCAAAAAAATTGACTATATAGGAAAAAGACGAGTTGGGATTGTGGCCGGGAGATGGAGAGCACCAGTTGAACGGGGGTTTCCCTTTGGGGCCAGGACCTAGGGGACCTACTGATGCTTTGGATGTGGGGTTCAAGGTGGGGGGATCCTGGGTGGACGTACTCGGGGTGCGGCGCTGTCTTTTGCAGGATCAGTAGTTGAGAGTTTAACCTTCATGGCGGCAGTTCAAGTCTTCCTCAGACTTCACAGGTTGGACAAAATGTCCGACTGCTCCTCATGTTAGTTTGCCTTCAGTGAAACAGGTAGTGAAAATTCGATGAGATCATCTAAGCAGCAAATACCAGCCTAACGCTAATTTCACCCCCACAGCCTCCCGGGGGGGTTGGTATTTTAATCTTCCTTGTACAGCGGAGAGGTGTGTGGGGGGGGGTAGCTCCCAGGCTGAGACCTGACACGTAAAATGAATGAAAATCAACAGATGAGCGTCCCCCGCCCGCCCCCTCAGCCCCCAAGCCCCACCTGGCGCGGGGGGCGTCGCCCGGCGGCCCCTCCCGCACATGCGCACTAGGCCCCCGCCGCCCCCGCCCAGACCCCGCGTCGGAGCATGCGCGGGGCGTTTCGCGCCAATACCTGACTGGGCAGCGGCTGCCAGCCTTGCGGGTCCCGGGCGGCGCTCCCTCCTCGGCACCGGGATGATCGGCCAGAAGACGCTGTACTCCTTCTTCTCCCCGGGGCCCGTCAGGAAGCGGTGCTCCCGCAGCCCCGAGCCGGGGGCCGGCGTGGCGGCGGTAACTGAGGAGAGCGGGGATGCGGCGGTGAGGCGCGGCGGGGACCGTTGGCGGGGCCGGGGTGAGGGCAGGGGGGCGGGCGAGGGCGGCGGGCCCCGCGCCCCGCGCGTCTGGGGGACGGCGGGCCGCGCCTCAGCCGGGGGGACGGCGCGCCGGCGGCGTGATGCCCACACGTGTTCAAAACAGGCGCCTCGGCGCGCCACCGGCGGCCATGCTGCGCCGCCGGCCAATGGGGACGCGCCTCGGGCCCGGCGGAGCCAATCAGCGGAGGGAGGGGCGGGGCCTCAGGGGAGGGTTTTGCCGCGAAAAGGCCTCGTGGGGCCGCAGCTGCGGCGCGTCCGGGGCGGGGCGCTGGGGCCGCGGCCGCCTCTCCCGCGAGCCCGCGCGCGCCCGCCCGCCCTGCGAGCCGCAAACGCGGACTCTGGGGCCGCGAGTCCCGGGCTGGGGCTCCGCCCCTGGCTCCTGGAGCGCGGCCGTGCGGAGACCCGCCCGCCGGGCCCGAAGCCGCGGGGATGGGGGTGCTGTGCCGCGCGCTGGGCGCTGGGCCGGGCAGCTGCGGGCGCCCGCGGGAGGCCCGCTGCAGCCCGCGACCCTCTTCTGCGGGGGCCCCTTGCAGGCCAGCCCGGCCAAGAGGCCCCGGGCCGCGCAGGAGGACCCCGGCACGCCGCCCTCGTCGCCGCTCAGCCCCGAGCAGCTGGTGCGCATCCAGAGGAACAAGGCCGCCGCCCTGCTGAGGCTCGCCGCGCGCAACGTGCCCGTGGGGCTGGGCGAGAGCTGGAAGAAGCAGCTCAGCGGGGAGTTCGGGAAGCCGTACTTCATCAAGGTAAGGCTCCGAGCCCCGTGTTTGTGAGCACGGCAGGCCGAGCCCGCGTTCATGCTTGCAGGCGATGGCTTCCATGCTCGCCTTGCTTCCGGGGGCAGCGCCTCGGTGCTTTAAATTCGCACCTTTATATTTGCTGAACTTTATAAAAGGCCTGGAAGACGTCGCGACTCCCCTGAGCCGTTCTTGTTAGACTGCTGCGGGGGAAGACTGGCCTGGCCCCCCCCCCCCCCCCCCCGCAAGCCCGACTGGAGGAAGCCGGGCCGAGCCTGAGAAAGGAGGGAGGGAGGGGCTGGCGCCAACCGGATACCAAAGGGTCCATCAACTTTGACCCCGCCCAAAGAGGGGGGCAGGGAATTGAAGGGGTTGATCCATCTGGGTGGGGCACAGGTAGTTTTTGTTTGTTGTTTTTTATTTCAAAAGAATATGGATATAAAATCGCGAAGTCCTAGCTCTGGCTCACACTTCAGACAGAATTCTTTGGCTTGCAAGTAGAGTGTGCGATTAAAAGGCTGGATTCTTAGACCTTCTGAGTATCTGATTTTAAATCTGGTTTATCTTTAAATCAGCTCATGGGATTTGTTGCAGAAGAAAGAAAGCACCACACTGTGTATCCACCCCCCCACCAAGTCTTCACCTGGACTCAGATGTGTGACATAAGAGATGTAAGTACAGGTTGTGGATGGGTTTCATTAAAGGAGGAGGAGAGGATCAAATAGTATTTCTTAATTAGGGACACTGAGTCATTCCTTAGTGAGGGCCACTGTCCATAATTCAGGAATGAATAAAATTCATTGCAAAGTTTGGCTGGGCCTATCTTTACTCTTTCAAACCATTACTATGCACTGTTTAGGCAGCTAGAAAGAAAGTCGTGTACACAGACCATGTGTCTCTGTCCCCATTTCTAGTCAGTCCTGAAACCAGTTACATGCCAGGCTTGGAGGGGGTGGTGGTGATGGGTATGCAGCTATTGAGTCTTTTTACCTTGCGGGTATCTACCGCAAGTTGTTGGTTTTTGTTCTTTTTGTTCTTGTCATTTTTTTATTCTTTCTGACTCATTGAGTTTTCAGGCTCTTGACCTGGCCTGAACAGTTTTGTTCTCCTGTGGCCAGATCCCTTTGCTTTGGTTCACTCCACACCCTGGCTGCTGACTGGCAGCTGGGCATGTCCGGAAGCTTGTTGACGGCTCAGGCTGTGTGAACTGTATGGCCACATCATACTTCCCTGCCTCCCTCCCCTTCTCCCACCTCAGAGTTGGGCAGTGCTCTGTCCTCACTTCTGTCTTTTTGAAAACCATCCAGCACCCTGAAGCCTGATCCCCACACCATTGTGATCTGGTTTTCCTCTAAAACCCTTGATGAGTTTGGCCTCTGCTTGCACTGGAGGTTTTCACATTTGTTCTTAGCCTTTTCCCTCACCTGTTTTCTAACCTGAAGGTAGGAGTCCTGCAACGTAATAAATATCTGTTGAATCAAATAGAAATTAAATAGGTGAGTAAGCCATCTTGAAAAGGATAACATAGAGCAAAACCTCAATTTTTCATTTTAGAGCCAGAACTTTGAATATGGCTTTGTTTTCAATGTTAAGGGGGAAAAAAACAAAACTGACTCCGATTAAACTCAGTACTATTTTGTGCCCTACTTGAATAGTATGTTCTGCTTTGAACTTGCCCATAATCCACAGAACCGGGAAGAATAAGAAAGGGACGTCAAACTTCTGAGGACAGATGGCCCAGTGAGACTTCTTTGCAAGTGAGCCGTTGGAGGCTTGTCCAGGACCAGGGAACCTGACCCTGAGCCCAAAAGCTTCCCTGCTGGGACAGTAGACAGTGTGCTGGGGGTGGTGTGAGCACCCACGACTGAATAGATGTCCCCTGAAGCTGGATTTTGAAGGATAATGTGTATGAGAGAACATCTTAAGAAGGAGCACCATGGACAGAAGCAGGAGAATGAACAAGAGGTGGCTGACATAGGTCTAAAGAACTTGCTTAAGGTTGCCATGATAGCACCTCATTAATTTTCACTGCCACCTACTCCCACGGCCCTTTGACCTGACCTCATTCTCTTCTAGTTTCAGCCCTAAGGGGAAGTAGGCATCTATATATGCTCCTGGTTAGGAATTTGAATTGCTTCAATGCATTGAAAAGTAACTTGGCACATGCATGTGAAAATGTAAGATGCACTTATCCTTGACCAGCAACCCCACTATGATGTCTTTCACAGAAATAAAAACAACCATATATGAGGGCATATGAAATAGGGTGTTGACAGCATTGTTTTTTGTACTGGAAAAAATTGGGAAACAAGGTCACTGCCCATCAGTACTTAAGCTGCAGTGAGTGGTGTGAAGGATGTGCCAAATATATAACATGAAAAGCAAAAGTAGGGCCTCCCCAGTGGCGCAGCAGGTTGAGCGCTGTGCTGTGAGGCTGTCCGCAACCTCTGCAATGCGGGTTCGATTCCTGGCCGGCCAGGGAGAAACCCATATGGCGTGGCAGGCCTCTACTGCCTCACCCGCTGCTCCCCTCAGCAGTGTCTTCGGTCCATCTGCCTATTCTGCTCCCCACTGTCTCTGGTGAATTCTCACACCTTTCCACGTGCTTCTGACCTGTACCCCAGTTCTTGTATAAACAAATCTTTAAAAAAAAAGCAAAAGTAGGGTGATGAGCAAATGTGTAGGTAATTAAAATGGTTGAGCCTGAATGGAATGGGGTGCCTGGGAAGCGATTAACCATTTTGTATCTTGCTGGTGGCTGCACTTCGGGAATTTGGAAAATGAAGAGGGTAAAAGCAAAGTCGGCCCCAGCCTGTTTCAAACACCTGTGTTATGCGTTAGGGCTGTGCCACAGGTTGCTTGAGTGAAAGATAATTACAAATGATGCCTGAGTTGCTCCCTTGGGGGGGTGGGGGCTGCCCTTAGCATGTCCCTTTGTATAGCCTATCAAGGTTAGGGTAAGCCAGGTGTTCGTTTAAACAGCTTACACCATGGAATTGTTTTAATTTCTTGCCACCTGGTATTCACAGGTAAAAGTTGTCATCCTGGGACAGGATCCCTATCATGGACCCAGTCAAGCTCATGGGCTTTGCTTTAGTGTTCAAAGACCTGTTCCACCTCCACCCAGGTATGATTGCTTTACACATGGCTCAGTGCCAATTGTGATTACTTTCAGATGCAGACTTTACAGATTATAAGTACAACTTAGGGGAACTTCCGCTAGCCTTTCAAACAAGATTCTCAATGTTGGCACTGTAGATATTTGGGGCTGGATCTTTGTGGGGGAAAGGGCTTGTCCTGTGCACTGTAGGTAGGGGCCAGCATACTTGACCCCTGCCCACTCCATGCCAGTAGCTGTCAAGGTCTTGGGCAGGTTTACCTGTGGGGAGGAACATGGCACTTGCTCATGAATTAGTGCCCTCTCTCAGACCGTCTTTACAGGCTGTGGTTCACATCGTGTTGGAGGTTACTGCTTCCACAATTGTGCTTTAAATTATTTTTTGTATTATTCTCCCTGTTTGCTTTCAGTCTGGAAAACATTTATAAAGAGCTGTCTACAGACATAGATGGTTTCGTTCATCCTGGTCACGGAGATTTATCTGGGTGGGCCAAGCAAGGTAAACCACCGTGTGGTTGGGTACGTTTTGGGTGGGTTGTCAACAGTTTTGTCTTTTCCAGCCTCCTATTTGTAAAAGATGGTCATAAAGAATTTGAGAGCACCAATAAAAAGGCTGGATTTATGCGAGTCAGAAAACATCAGATTTTTTTTATCCTGCAGCCAGTGCTCTCTCATGATTCGTTGTTACTCTTTCATGTTTATTCACTTCCCTGAACTCCGGGCCATTCGTACAGTGGCCTCATTCTGTTCATTTCAACACACAAGAGGTTTATGTGTTTAATACCTACCTGCAGAATATTCTTTAGCAAGTAAACTATGCCAGGATAGAGGAAGAGTATTTACTCTTCAGTTTCTTGCTGTCAGGTTTTTGTGTCAGTGAGACATTTATGGCCTCCTTTTGTTATTTTCTGAGGTTATTTAATACCGCTTAAGGAAAATTTTTTCTGACTATGCATAGAATGTATATCGCTGTTGTAATTCCAGAACATGCTAAAAGGGCAGAGGTGAACATAAAAAGCCCACTAATCTCACCCAGAGGTGAACCGCTGGTCGTGTTGTCAGGCTTTTTCTTTCTGACCTAATTTCAGTTGCCTACACCAGCGTGGTTTCGTCACATGGTGACACCCGCCCGCCGCCAGGTGTTTGGACCTACTAATTTCCGCTTACCTTTAACCTGTTTCTTCGTGTGTGTTCGTAGGTGTTCTCCTGCTCAACGCTGTCCTCACTGTCCGGGCACATCAAGCCAACTCTCATAAGGAGAGAGGCTGGGAGCAGTTTACTGATGCAGTTGTGTCCTGGCTGAATCAGAACTCCAGTGGCCTCGTCTTTTTGCTCTGGGGCTCATATGCTCAGAAGAAGGGCAGTGCCATCGATAGGGTAGGTTTGTTTTTTGACACTTGAAACCAGCTAAGAGAATTCTAGGAATCCTTGGCAATGTGGTCCTGGAAAATCCATATCATTAAATGAATCTTAGTTTCCTTTAAGAATACTGCAGTTAGGGTTAGAATTCCCATTGAAAATTGAGCAAAATTCAGACAGATAACAAGAATGACTAGTTGTGTAAGAAAACAGCTGTTTTCTGATTTAATGCTATTAGTAAGGGGGAGATAAACTTGCCCCACTTAGTAAGATGCACAGGCCCCAGGTACCATTCATTTAGCAAACTGTGCAATAAGTAATGAACAAAATTAATGGTTTCTCAGAAATTTGGGGGTATATAGAAAACTCGGAGTATTTAGTTTAATTACAAAAGTGACGTGCCCACAAGAATGCTGGCAGTGAGCTCTGCCAGCCTATGCCCAGCACCACCGAACCAATTCCTTCACCTTCATAACTGCCCTCCCTGCGTCCTCCCCCAACCTCCTCCCACCTCCTCCATTCATGTACTGAAAAGCATTTACATAGCTGGTTGCTTTGTGAAGGACCAAAAAGTCACCAGTAAATCTTGTCACCTTGCCTCCTAAAAAATCCCAGTCCTCTTCACAGTTAGCTGCTGCCACTCTGGGGTGAACCACTGTCCTTTCTCTCTGGGTGACAGGGACAGGTTAGAGATGGTGGTGGTTTGGTGGAGAATGGTAGAGTGAAGGGGGGTTGGGGGGAACTCCAGAGGAAGCCCTTCACTAAGTGGAGTTGAAGGGGTGGACTGAAGTGGGCTGGCAGGTTCTTGTGTATCAGCAGGAGGTAACTAGTTATCGGAAAATGCAAGTATAGTGAGGCTCTCGCCTGACTCATGCACCCAGTTAAGCACTTTGCATGCAAGCATCTGGTTCATATTCGCAAAGACAGTAAGAGTAGGCACGCAACGGACCCCCTTTTCTACTGGACCTCCTGGAGATGAAGTTCCTTGCCCAAAGCTACAGTGATAGTGGAGATGGGATAGAACTTGCCTGCCAGGTTGGCCCCCAGGAGTATGAGGCCTCTAAGCCAGTGATGCAGTTCAGGTCTACAGACTTGACTCACTCTCTTAGATGGAGTTGTCTTCATTTTTTTAACTTGGGTATTTTTTCTTAAGGTTGTAGATTCACTTGTTCAAAAACAAGGCATGATGTCTATGCTAAGATACTGCTTTTTTATGCTCATACAAGCAAACAGCAGTGTAGTGTGTTGGTCAAATTCAGCTTTCTCCGTTGAGTTGAATGTACTGTGTGAATGGACAAGGTAATTCCAGGTGTTTTTCTTTTCCCAAAGAAGAGAAAAAGAAAGAAGGTCTGGCGTGAATGCACATATGCGGAGAGCCGATTATCTAAGAAGTCTGTGCAGGAGTAATCGCAGGTCTCTGCCTTACGGGTCATGGTCATATTCAGTATATTCATAGCTCCTAGCTAGTTAGTATATTCATAATCTTTATTATTATTCTCAACATGGTTTGGGCTGAAAGTCAACAGCCATTAAACTATCTTGATGGTTAAAACAAGCGACGCGTTCAGCCCAGTGCGTTGCCTGAGCACAGGATCTGGGTATTCAGCCCCCTGGTAACACATAAGTACATTAGACCTAACATTTCTCCAGTGAAAGTCACCTTTCCTCCTCCATTGCCCCCTAAACTTGTTCCTCTGTACCACTGTCTACCAGTTGTCCAACCAGAAAGAAGATGTCATTCTACACCTCTGCTCTTCCTTTATCCTTCCCACCTTGTTCCGTCCCCCACTCCCCCAGTCACTCATCCGTAGTCTTCTCAGACCAACCCCCGCCTGGCTGCTTTTGCCTGCTTCATTCCATCATCTCATCTGGCCCAAAGTGTTCATCCTTCTCCCTGGAAGGCCATGGCTGAGGCTGACAAGCTTGGACTAAGGAAAGCCACAGTTCCTTCTCTCTACCCTTAACTCCAGACTGGCAGAACCCCCAGATGTCGCCCCTGCCTGCCTTTGAACATCCTTCTTCCTCTGCCCAGTGGGTGGAGGTCCTTTCCTCCTTCAGAGGTGACTAACATCCTTCAGAGCTCAGCACAGCTCACATCTCCAGGGGCCTGTACTGCCTGCCAGACTGCCATTTCTCAGACACTGCATCATTGATTCTTGAACAGTAATTCACAAGTGACACCAGTGAGGCTCTACTGAGGTTCCCGGTTTCCCAATGAGAAATGAAGTGCAGCTTGCTGAGGTTCAGTGACTTCCCCTTGGTAGCGGAGTGGCAGCTACACAGCTGAGTGGCAGGGTCAGGACTCAAATGCTAGACTATGATATTCACCACACTGCGCTGCTGGCTTCAATCAGGGTCCCTCCTGGACTAAACTCCTTGAAGGCAGGGATGTTTTGGAAAACGGATTTGTTAGGTGGTTTCTATAGCCCGGGACTTAACAGTAAATTTTATCTGATGAAAGTGGTACAATAGTGAGCCCCTTATCTGCCTGCATCCTGTAGCAAATGCCAGCTTGGTGCTGAGTTATAACATACGAACTCTTAAAAATTGCTTACGTGAAGCTGAGCCTGGGGCTCTGCATCCTCAGAACCCAGCAGAGGTAGCTACTCTTTAAAATACAAGTGTGGTTGAGCACCTCACTGTGAAGCTGTCCGCAGCCTCTGTGTGGGTTCGATCCTGGCCGGCTGGGGAGAAACCACATGGCGCAGCAGACCTCTCCTGTCTCGCCTGCTGCTCCCCTTAGCAGTGTATATCATCAGTCTGCCTGTTCCGTTCCCCACTCTGTCTCTGGTGAATCCTCTCAGCCTCCTGTACATCTGGCCTGTACCCCAGTTCTTGTATAAATAAATCTTAAAAAAAAAAATTCCAAATATGTCACCTTTCTCTCTTTTGTTCTCTTTCAGAAGCGGCACCACGTGCTGCAGACAGCTCACCCCTCCCCGTTGTCTGTGTACAGGGGGTTCTTTGGGTGTAGACATTTCTCTAAGACCAATGAGCTGCTGCGGAAGTCTGGCAAGGAACCCATCAACTGGAAGGATCTGTGACCCTGCACCAAGTCGGGGCCTCCACTGGTGTTGAAGTATTTGCCAGTTAAGATGTTGAGTTGAAAAAAATGATTTCCCTGGTAATTCTTAAGCACTCTTGTATAAAAGGGAAAGCTTCAGTTCCGCAGCCGTGAGCCAGGCTGCCCAGCAGCAGCGGCTTCATCCAGCCAAAAAAAACAAAGATGGCAGCACGCGCCTGTGTCTGTGCAGCATGGCTTTGGCCTACACAAGCCATCAGTTGAGCTCCTCAGAAAGGAGATGAGGTCAGATACTCTTTCTCCCCTCTGTTAGCCTGCATAATAGCAAAAGTGGGATGAGGGGAGCCCCTTTTGGTGCCTGTTGCTACTCATTTTTACCTATTAGATCAGACTTAGATTATAAGGGGCTAAGTTTTTTTATTTGGAAAGGCCTCCCTTGGCCCCAGGATGGTCTTTGAAGCCAGCCAAGTCCACAGCTTCCCTTGGTCTTCCACACAGCCACAGGCCTCCAGAAGGAAGCATCATGGGGACTTTTTTTTTTTTTTTTTGAAAGCTTCAAAAAATCTAGCCCTGAAATTGGGGGATCAGCCACCTGGTTGTAGTCGAGAAGAACATTCCCAAGGAATGATCCTAAAGGATGAGCAGGCGGAGGTGAGCTGGCTTATGTTTACGCTTTACTGTGGGTGTTTCTAGGAATAATTTGTGAAAGTTTAACAGGAATGAGAAAGGGTTTTATTGTTTTTTTTAAAGAGGAAATGTTTTCTCTTAGGTTTATCCTGACTTGGGGTTTTTAAGGCAGCGTTGATTGCGAAATGTTTTATAAACTGAAATTGCTTTTGGAACACTGGAGAATTTTTTCCTTTAATTAGATGTATATATTTGTTTAGTCCCTTGTTTAAGAGACAATCTTTATTCTGTACCTCTCCTAGATCCTGGTAGTAATAGTTTTTGCTCTTAGCTGAGTGAGAGTTAAACCTGCCTGTTTGGTAATAAAGATTGTTGGTGTTTCACTTTGTGCCAAGTGCTCTTCCTGGGCTTCCTCTCTGGGCCCTGGCGTCTGCAGAAGTGTTTGGGCTGCCCTGGACGCCCCCCATGGGACAGGGGTTGCCTGGTAACCATTGTATGGGAAAGAACCAGCCCCAGGTCTTCCTTGCCTTTCCCTTTGATGGAACCACCCACCCCTCTACCTTGGTAAGCCCTGAGCCTGTTCCCTGGGAGAGGCACCTATAGGGCATGATGGGGTGGCTCTGATTCCCAAAGGCTACAAGGTGTCTAGATGGGGTCAGGGTCTGCTGAGACCCTAAAGGGGCCACTTTGAACTAGGAAGTATCGGGATCTTTGCATGTCCTTTGTGGCTGTGTGTCCTGCCTGCCAGACCCTGTTTCTACTGCTGGTGTTTCCAGACTATGTATGGGGCAAGGACACTGGGAAGATAGGTGCCCAATGGCCGGGCACTCGGCTCTAGAGCTGGGGTGGACTGTCAAGATGAAAACTTTTGACTTGAGATGTTGCTTCTCCAGGCCCTAATGTTCTTAAGGTTTGAAAAGGGGGTCACATTGTGCCATCAGCAGGCAGGCTCTCACCAAGTGAAGATGCAGACAAAAATCTATCCTTAATTGCCCTCAGGTGAGTTTGGGGAGAATGGACACATTCCAGGGAGAAATGAGGAAATATTTGTCAGGCTTTGCCACTTCTAGGAAACAGCTCTGAATTGCCTTAAATAATGCCAAAAGCAAACTAATGTGTGTTTTTTGAGTCATATATAGAACTTCAGAAGTGCAGAGGACACGGAACAGCATCTCATGGCCCATGAGCCACCCCCAAGAAAGAAGCAAACTTAATCACCAAATTTCTAAAAGGGACCCCTTGTTTTGATGGACTCTTGGTTATGTAGTTGTCATTTTCTTAACACTAAAGTTTGCTATGATTCTAACCCTGACCTTTTTCTATAAAGGCTCAGATAGTAAATATTTTAGGCTTTGCAGTCATTCTGTCTGTGGGAACTACTCAACTCTGCAGTGTAGAGGAAACAGCTGCATGCAAAATGTAAATAAGCAGAATAGCTGTGTTCATTGAAACTGTGGACTGAAGTTGGAACTTAGTAAGATTGTCATGTGTCATGAAATCCTTGAATTTTTTTTCAAGCTTTTAACATGTAAAAACCTCTCCCAGCCTGGGAGCCACTATGTGGACCCCTGTTCTAGGTGCTTCCACCCAGAAGTCAACTCTGACTGCCCATCTTTCCTCACTGGGCAGTTCTCCCTGTGGGAACCTGTGAGAATCCAGCCAAAAATAATTCCTGTCTCCTTCCTTGTCAGGGAGGGCATCTGCTGAGGACTTTCGGAAATGATAACACAAGGAAGTCAGTTATGCAAAATGTCCCAGAGACCTCAAGTTGTTAAATAATTAATCGCATGAAAGTCACTATCTGTTTTTGGTCTGAATCCAGGGGGGCGAGGTCAGACGAGCTACCATTAGACTAAATTCTCTTAAAATTTGCTTCCTGCCGTGCTTTACTCCTGGCATAAAAAGTCTTAGGGTTTGGGGCTGAAGAAGCAAGCTTTGTGGTGTACGTGCGAGACAGTGCCTTTTCATCCTTGTCAGACCATAACAATGAGCAAGAAAACATAGGTAGAGGCTCTGGGCTATGTTAGAGGGTCCTGGCGTGAGAGCTGGCAGTAACTCAAGCTAAGAAGAGACTGGAACTTGTGCCTGCTGGAGACAGCCTCTTCCCATTTAGAGTTCTTCTGACACTTAATCTGGGTCTCACAACCTGAAGTGACTATGATGATGATCTCAGCTGGAAGCAGTTTTTAAATTTTTGAAGTATGTTTGGGAATGCAAATACTGGTGAGTAGGGCAGACCAGGAGGGCAGTGCTTTGTATTCTTTGCTTCTCTGTGGAGTGTTTTCCTGTGTCCTCATGTCACTATTTGGGGGGGGGGGGGGTTCAGGTTTCCTTAACAAGTTAGCACTCCTTAGGCCACGTGGTCACTTAATGGGGGAAGGAGGAGGTTATCTTGACATGGATGACTTTCTCAATCTGTGTGAAGAAATGTATTTTTCTATTCTGGTATTTGGTGGGAAAAGTTTATGAATAGTTTCAAGCCTTCCATTGACCTCTAGAAAACACTTGTAAAAATAGGAGTGTGTCAGTAGAAATTAAGCCACCAGAAATTCTCCGTGTGTGTGTGTGGTCTCGTTGAAACTAATGAATTTTATGAGAAAGATATTATTAAATGCCTCTTCCCCCATACCACTATGTTAGGAGCTCAGTATATGCCATATCATTGGATTTTCTCCACCATATGATGAAGTTAGATGAGGAAACAACCACTTGCCCAAAACCACAGGAAACAGCTAGAATTTGAACTCATGTCAACCTGATTTCAAAGCCCAATAGTTGACAGTCCGCCAGGATCAGAATTAATTGTAGTCATCAAGGAAGGATTTTATAAGTTCCCAGAAACATGGAAGGCCAGGTCTGTCTCTGAAAGAGGCCCCATTTAAAGGAGAATGGCTCATGCTACTCTGGGTAGAAGCATGTAACAGTCAACATCTGCATGGGGCTGTGGCTTGTCGACAATTTAGAGGGCAGATATTGTGCTGAGCGCTCCACCTGGGTTATTTCATCCTCCAACTCCTATGTAAAATACTTGAATATCTCAGGTTACAGCCGATGATACCGAGGCCTCCAGGGACCACAGGGAACAGGTAGTGAGTGTGTGTTCTGCTTGCAAGTCCAGTGGGAAAATTTCCAAGAAGCAGACTGGCGACAAGCTGGCAGATGTGGGGGTGTGGGCAGGGGAAGGCCACACCTGTCATGGCTGCCATTTAAACCACTTTTACACAGATTCAGTGCTCTGGCTATTTTGTAAGGTGCTTTCTGGCTTAGCAAAATGGGGCCACCAAGTTGCTGAAACTCTTACCTTTTGTCTGAGCACACAATGCCCTTTTGTGTGGCCTCTGCTTTCCTGCAGCCAACACCAGCTCCTGTTTGGACCTGGAGGTGACCTTTGTCCTATATGCTCCAACCCTCCCCAGTGGCAGAACACACTGTAACGGCTGGGTGTACTGGTTTCCGTTGGTCTCCACTCAGCTCTAGCAAGAGCCAGCAGCCCAGAATGGGCATCAAACAACTCCCCTCCCCCCAGTCACAAGAACTAGGAAGCATTCTTGGAGTAGCGTTTCCATTGAGAGGTTTCTACCAAACCCTTTCTGCAGAAAGAAGCCAGATAGGGCCTCCCCGGTGGCGCAGCGGTTAAGCACTGGGTTGCGAAGCTGCCCGCAGCACCAGTTCGATCCCCGGCTGCTCCCCAGCCACCGGAGGAGAGTCCCACCTGGCGCGCAGACCCTCTGCCTGCTCTGCTCCCCGCTCCGGCTCTGGTGAATTCTCTCACCCTCCCGCGCTTCTGACTGTGCCCAGTGCTTGTATAAATAAATAAATCTTTAAAAAAAAAAGGAAAGAAAGCCAGATAATCTGATAGCAATCAACTTAAACCATCCAAACCTAAACTGGGGGCTGGTTCCAGGAGCCATTTCTCAAACAGCCCAACATTCCATATGCAGTTAATTTCCAGCATGTACATAGGAATACCAAAACAACTTTGTTTTTGTTGCTCACGACAACGTGGACTTTAAACACCTCATGGCTTAGATATCTAAGAATTTTGAAATGAAGTGAGTTACGGGGTTGCCCGTGAGAAGTAGAGCCCTTCCTGGTGGGACAGGGCCCGGCCACTGGCTTGGTGCTGGCTTCCTCCCTGCTGTCCTGGAAGGTTAAGTGCTCTGGGATATTTTTAAACAGCAGAGGCCAGTTAATCTAAAAGTGACATTTACAAGCCACAGGAGTGAGCAGTTAGCCGGCTTAGATTCTGGCCTTTAGCAAAACAAGGAACCTGGAAAATGTAACCCGGAGGACATGGAAAAAACAAAGTGGAGAGACGGTGGTAAGTGAGCCCGCCCCTGCCTGGGGTCAATAGAAACGGAGTCCTGTGAATGGACATTTAATGCAGAGAATGGCACTGACGCAAAGGCTGCTGGCTGGGTCTCCAGGGGAACAACAGTCCTAGTTGTTTGAGAGAAGCTGATCCAAAGGCTGGAAATATGCTGTAGATGAAGGAGAAGGCCTGTCTGCTTCTGTAAATGGTTATGTTGCTAGGAATCCCTTTGCGAGCTCTTTTCCTCAGTTACATAAACCGAAATGGTAGATTGAATTTTTCAGTTTACTTAAAAGCAGTTCTGTGATTGCCTCCCTCCAAACTTGTCTTACAGAAAAATACCTTAACTGTCCGAGCTCTGAAACTATTGTTCATGTTTTATAAGCAGACTCCAGGACTACGGCCTTGATAGTGATCCTGCATTCTAGGAAGATGTGATTTTCAACTTTTAAAAAGTAGAAGTCAATAGCAGAAAATAGGGTTGAGTCTCCCTGCATCAGCCATTTGTTGATCCCCCTCCTTGAGGAGCTGCTGGGCACACATTGGTGTAAAAATTCCCAGACCCTTGCTCTTCCAAGACCGTTTATTCTGTGCATTCACCGGAGACATAGTTCTATCTCTCATGACGGTCATTAGTGTTATTTGACTATGAGGGGACTATTCTGTAGCTAAAGTGACTGACCACCCAGGTGTGCCTAGGACTAAGGGAGTACCTGCACTTTCCATTTAAAAACAAAGTTTTATAAATGGACTTTTCCTCCCTCTGACAGTTTCTTACGAGATTTTTCAAAACATTTCTTCAGCAACTTCTCAAGTTTTACACGGAAAGAGCCGGTCAATTCCTAAAGCCCGTACCCAATGCTGGAAATATCCCTAATGTCGGTCTTTATTTGAGGAGTCAGGTGAGGTATTTAATGTTTATACAAAGGAGGTGGCTTTGCTCCTGCTCAGAGGTTGTGTAAACTGGTACTTGTATCATCTTTAGGGCTGAGACAAATTAGAGTATCACATGAGATGTGCTTTCTCTGTAGGGAAATATTTTAAATCTTTTGAAATGGAGGTTTCAGTGTTATCTTTGTGGGAACTTTGGCATAACTTATTCTAAAACTCCCTCTGAACTTTGACTCAGAGACTCCTTATTTCAGAGGAGTGTGCATCTGACCTGGAGAAGCTTGGAAGCATGGGCAGAAATCTAGCATTTTACTTAAATGTTTGTGCCTGTTTCACATTCTATTCTAATTGC